TTTTGATTGTAGGTGAACTATAAATCCCAGCAACTATAGTATGTACATCTCCCAAATGACAAAATCAACCCCCCCCCCCCCACAACCCCATCAATATTCAAATTTGGGTGTATCGGGTATTTGTGCCAACTTTGGTCTAGTGAATGAAAACACATCTTGCATATCAGATATTTACATTACGATTCATAACAGTAGCAAGATTACTGTTATGAAGTAGCAACAAAAGTAATTTTATGGTTGGGGGTAATCACAACATGAGGAAGTGTATTAAGGGGTCTTGGCATTAGGAAGGTTGAGAAACAGTGGTTTAAGTAACCACACTTTGCTTTTATGTTTAGTCGCTTTGGGTCTCCTTCAAGAGGGATATAAATAATAATAATAATAATAATAATTATTATTATTATTATTATTATTATTATTATTATTATTGATGGATGTCAATCAATGCCATAACATATTTTAAAAAGACATTTTCGAAATGCTGTGATTGACATATTCTTCAACCACTACCCAAGACTTTCATAACTCAACTGAAAACAGACTGCCTTCTCTATTTCACATAGACAGTGCCTTAGGTGAGATGGTGTCATTTCCCATCATTCATATGCCTTCCTGTCCAACGCACCCCCATTGCAGTGAGATAGTGTCTCAACCCTCAGAAGTATTGAAACAGAGGCTGGATGGCCATCTGTTGGGAGTACTTTGAGTGTATATTCCTGCCTGGCAGAATGGGATGGGATTAGATGGCCCTAGTGGTCTAGTCTAGAATAAGAGTCTAAGAGTTGATGAAGGTGCCCCCGGTGACGCAGTGGTTTAAAGCGCTGAGCTGCTGAGCTTGTTGACCGAAAGGTCGGAGGTTCGATTCCGGGGAGCAGCGTGAGCTTCCGCTTTCAGCACTAGCTTCTGCCAACCTAGCAGTTCGAAAATATGCAAATGTGAGTAGATCAATAGGTACCGCTCCAGCAGGAAGGTAACTTTGCTCCATGCAGCCATGCCGACCACATGACCTTGGAGGTGTCTATGGACAACGCTGGCTCTTTGGCTTAGAAATGGAGATGAGCACCACACCCTAGAGTCAGACATGACTGGACTTAATGTCAAGGGACAACCTTTTACCTAAGAGTTGATGAATTTTTGAGATGGAAACACTGTAGATGGAACAGATGATGGTGAAGTCTCCATCTTTGGGGGCTTTAAAACAGAGGCTGGCTAGCCATCTGTTAGGAGGGCTTTGGCTGTGTATTCCTGCCTATCAGAAAGGGCTTGGACTGGATGGACACAGAATCCCTTCCAGTCTATGATTCTATGTTGATACACCCTCCCAAAGGATGCATACTAATAATACTAATACGATTCAGGCATCCCTCCCCTCTCAATAATATTAATATTAATGTTAATATTAATAATAATAATAATAATTTTAATTTTAATTATTACCAACTTCTCCTGATTCCTCGAGGTGGGGTACAATAAAGTAAAAAAGCATACTAACATAAAATATATACAAAATATTACATAGATATTATTATTATTATTATTATTATTATTATTATTATTAATAGCCAGGCATCTCTCCTTTCTCTCTAATGATGATACCAGTAATATCCAGGCATTAGTTCCCTCTCTCTAATAATAATAATATTAATACTATCCAGGTTTCTCTTCCTTCTCTCTAATAATAATAATAATAATAATAATAATAATAATAATATCAATACAACCTCCCAATGGATGGAATACTACCCTCCAAGTCTCCCTATATCTCAGCTTTATTGGAAGGCTCTTGGGAGTTTCTTCCAGTGGGTCTATCATTCCCACCAGCTCTTTTATTTCTGTGCCTGGCCATCCAAAAGCAACCAGTGGGGGAGAATTTTCTATTCTCCCACTTAACCATCCCTTCTCTCTCTAATAATAATAATAATAATAATAATAATAATAATAATAATAATAATAATAATATACAGGCATCCCTCCACTCTCTCTAATAGTACTAATAATACTAATACTATACAGGCATCCCTCCCCTCTCTATAGCAATAACAACAAGAACAGCAACAATAATATAGACAACCCTACACTCCCTCTAAAAATAATAATAACAATAATAGTAATTTTTAATTTATTACCCGCCTCTCTCAATGGCTTGAGGCGGCTACAACAAAGTAAAAAGCATACAAACATAAAATATATACAAAATATTACATAATAATAATAATAATAATAATATCCAGGTATCCCTCCCTTCTCTCTAATAATGATACTAATAATATCCAGGCATCCATTCCCTCTCTCTAATAATACTACTACTAATACTATCCAGGTTTCACTCCCTTCCCTCCAATAATAATAATACTAGTACTATCCAGACATTCATCACCTCTCTATAATAATTATGATAATAACAGAAACAACAATAATAATACTATCCAGGCATTCCTCCCCTCTCTCTAATGATAATACTAATAGTATGCAGGCAGATCCCATCTTAATAATAATAATAATAATAATAATAATATCCAATAATCTCTCCCCCATCTCTAATACTAGTACTACTACTACTAACAGCAACAACAACACTATCCAGACATCTCTCCCCTCTCTCTAACAACAACAACAACAATAATAATATCCAGGCATCTCTCCTCTCGCTTTCTAATAATAATAATAATAATAATAATAATAATATCTAGGCATCCTCCCTCCTCACTAATAATAATATCCAGGCATCACCCTCCCCCTCTCTAATAATACTAACACTAATAATAATAATATCCATTCATCCCTCCCTTCTCTCTTATAATAATAATAATAATAATAATAATAATAATAATAATAATATCAAGGCATCCCTACCTTATCTCTACTAGTACTACTAATAATATCCAGGTATCCCTCCCCTATCTCTACTACTACTACTACTACTAATAATAATAATAATAATAAGATCCAGGTATCCCTTCCCTCTCTCTAATAATACTAAGAATATCCAGGCACCCCTCTCCCCCTCTCTAACAATACTAACACTAATAATAATAATATCCATTCATCCCTCCCTTCTCTCTTATAATAATAATGATAATAATGATAATAATAATAATAATAATAATAATAATAATATCCAGGCATCCCTCCCCTCTCAATAATAACAATAATAATAGTAGTAATACTATCCAGGCATCCCTCCCCTCTCTCTACTACTACTACTACTACTACTAATAATAATAATAATAATAATAATAATAATAGCCAGGCATCCCTCCCCTCTCAATAATAACAATAATAGTAATACTATCCAGGCATCCCGCCCCTCTCTCTAATACTACCACTACTACTACTAATAATAATAGTAACATCCAGGCATCCCTCCCCTCTCAATAATAATAATAATAGTAATACTATCCAGGCATCCCACCCCTCTCTCTAATACTACCACTACTACTACTACTACTACTACTAATAATAATAATAATAATAATAATATCCAGGCATCCCTCCACTCTCAATAATAATAATAATAATAATAATAATAATAATAATAATAATACTATCCAGGCATCCCGCCCCTCTCTCTAATACTACTACTACTACTAATAATAATAATAATATCCAGGCCTCCCTCCACTCTCAATAATAAAAATAATAATAGTAATACTACCCAGGCATCCCACTCCTCTCTAATACTACTACTAATAATAATAATATCTAGGCATCCCTCCACTCTCAATAATAACAATAATAATAGAAATAATATCCAGGCATCCCGCCCCTCTTCTACTACTACTAATAATAATAATAATAATATCCAGGCATCCTTCCACTCTCAATAATAACAATAATAATAGAAATAATATCCAGGCATCCCGCCCCTCTCTTCACTACTATTACTACTACTACTATTACTACTAATAATAATAATAGTATCCAGGCATCCCTCCACTCTCAATAATAACAATAATAATAATAATAATAATAGTAATAGTAATACTAGTATGCAGGCATCCCCCCCTCTCTCTACTACTACTACTACTACTACTACTACTAATAATAATAATAATAATAATAATAATAATATCCAGGCATCCCTCCCCTCTCAATAATAACAATAACAATAATAGTAATACTATCCAGGCATCCCGTCCCTCTCTCTAATACTACTACTACAACTACTACTACTACTACTACTAATAATAATAATAATAATATCCAGGCATCCCTCCACTCTCAATAATAACAATAATAGTAATACTATCAAGGCATCCCCCTCTCTCTACTACTACTACTACTAATAATAATAATAATATCCAGGCATCCCTCCACTCTCAATAATAACAATAATAGCAATAATAATAGTTTAATATCCAGGCATCCTTCCCCTCTCTCTAATACTACTACTACTACTACTACTACTACTACTAATAATAATAATAATAATAATAATAATATCCGGGCATCCCTCCACTCTCAATAATAAAAATAATAATAGTAATAATATCCAGGCATCCCTCTCCCCTTCCCTAATAATAATAATAATAATAATAATAATAATAATAGCAATAATAATTGTATTCCTTACCCTCCTCTCCTTGTGGCTGGACAATCCAAAACATGTAAACATGGTGAAAAATATCAACAATGGGGAGAGATATAAAGTGTGTCTGTATCACACAATATCTACAATGGGGACAGACAGATATAAAGTGTGTTGGGGGGTGTCCCTTCCAAGGGTCCGAGGCCGGGATGCCGGGCGCCCTCCTCTCCCTCTCTCCCTCTCTCCCTCTCCTTCTCTCCTCTCCTCCCGGTCTCCCTTCCACCCCAAAAGGCGCGCCCTCCTCCTCCTCCTCCGCCTCCTTTTCCGCGGTAAGGGGGCGTGGCGCTGGAGAGAGACGGACCGGCTTCCCATTGGTCGGGCGGAAAGCGCTGGGGCTTGTGATTGGCAGAGAGGGGCGCGGCTTGGGCTCGACGCGGCCGCTGCGCCTTTTGTGCGCTCGGCAGCGGCGTGGAGGGTTTTTTGGCTGGCGAAGCGGGCTGTGGAGCGGAGGTGCCTTCCCCCCTTTTTGCTCCCCCCTCCCTCCTCCTCCGCCTCACCTTCTTCCTCGCGATGCCTCGCGTGGCCGCCCAGCCTTGCCAACGAGGGCCGCCGCGGGTTCCCGACCGTCGAGGGGCGCCCTCCCCATCGGAGGAGGAAGACTAGGCGGGAAGAGAGGAGGAGGAGAAGAAGAAGAAGAAGGGAGCCCGCGAGGATGAGGAGGATGCTGCTGGAGGTGCTGCTGGCCTTGGCGGGGCTCTCCTGGGTGGGCGGGCAGAACGAGACCGAGCCCATCATCCTGGAAGGCAAGTGCCTGGTGGTGTGCGACTCCAACCCGGCTTCCGACCCCACCGGCACCGCGCTGGGCATCTCCGTCCGCTCCGGCAGCGCCAAGGTGGCCTTCTCCGCCATCCGGAGCACCAACCACGAGCCCTCCGAGATGAGCAACCGCACCATGATCATCTACTTCGACCAGGTAAGGAGTCCCCGAAGAAAGGTCGCACCCACCTTTTCGTGCAGCCCTGGCTCCTCGTTATTTGGGTATTCAGACAGTTGACGTCATGTCAGATTAGGGTGCTTCAGAACTATAATTATATTTATAACTAGCTGTACCAGCCACGCGTCGCTGTGGCCAACCATCCTTCACTCCCTCTTTCCTTCCTTCCTTCCCGTCTTTCCTTCTCTTCTTCCTTTCGTCTCAATCTCTTTCCTTCCTTTCCCCTTTTTTCTCTTCAGCTGTCTCTCTTTTCTTCCTTCTCTCTTTCCTTCTTTCCTTCCCTCCCTCTTTCTCTACATCTTCCCCCTTCCTTCTCTCTTCTCTCCTTCTTTCCCTTTTCTTTTCCTCCCTCTTTCTCTCTTTTCTTTCTTCTCTTCTTTTTCTCTCCTTTTTCCTTTCTCATTATGAGGTCTCTTTTTTATTACCTTCTATATATTCATTATTTAATTAACTCACTATTTATATTAAATTTTACACATTACTTCACTCATCGTTCATTGATATTTCAGTTCTCTCCTCTCCATCCCTTCAATTAAATACGTTCATTCCTTCCTTTCTCTCTTTCCTATCCTTCCTTCCTTCCTTCCTTCCTTCCTTTCCTCTCCCCCTCTTTCCTTCCTTTTCCTTTCCCTCTTTTCTCTCTTTTCTCTTCCTTCTTTCCTTCCTTCCTCTTTTCTTTCCTTCTTCCCTTCTCTCCTCTTTCTTCCTTCTTCTCTCTCTCTTCCTTCTCTCTTTCCCTTCCCTTCTTTCTTTCCCTCTTTCTCTTCTTTCTTCCTTCTCTCTTCCTTCTTTCCTTCCCTCCTCTTTCCTCTTCCCCTTCTTCTCTCTTCCTCCTTCTTTCTTCTCTCCTTCTTCCTTCTCTAACTCTTTCCTTCCCCTTTTTCTTTCTTTCCCTTCTTTCTCTCCTTCTTCCTCCTTCCTCCTCTCTTCCTTCCTTCCTTCCCATCTTCCTTCTCTTCTTCCTTCTTTCTCTATCTCTTTCCTTCCTTCCCCCTTTTTCTTTCTCTTCTGCTTTCTCTTTTCTTTCCTTCTCTCTTTCCTTCTTTCCTTCCCTCCCTCTTTCTCTACATCTTCCCCTTCCTTCGCTCCCTCTTTCCTTCCTTCTTTCCCTTTTTTCTTTCCTTCTCTCCTTTCTTCCTCCTTTTTCTTTCCCTCCCTCTTTCTCTCCTTCCTTCCTTTCTTCTCTTTGCTTCCATGCTTCCTTCTCCCTTTCCTTCTTTCTTTCCCTCCCTCTTTCTTTCCTTTTTTCTGTACTGTCATTTAGCTTTGGGGCTTTTTAAGTCCCTTCTTCTGTGTTTTTCAGTGTTTTTATGAGTGAAGGACCTACATTGGGTTGTTAGGTGTCTTGTGTCCAAATTTGGTGTCAATTCCCCCAGTGTTTTTTGAGTTCTGTTAATCCCACAAACAAACATTACATTTTTATTTATATAGATTTCTCTCATGTCCCCGCTTGGGGAGTTGGAGCTGGCAGAGGGAGCTCATCTGCGCTCTCCCCGGATTCGAACCTTCGACCTGTCGGTCTTCAGTTCTGCCGGCATAAGGGTTTAACCCTTTGCGCCACTGGATCTCAAGGATGCTGGATTTTCCATGGTAGTGTAGTTTGTATGCTTGGACTGAATTTTTTTTTTTGTCATGTCAGGAGAGACTTGAGAAACTACAAGTTACTTCTGATGTGAGAGAATTGGCCGTCTGCAAGGACGTTGCCCAGGGGACATTGCCCGGATGTTTTGATGTGTTACCATCATTGTGGGAGCCTTCTCTCATGTCCCCGCATGAGGAGCTGAAGCTGACAGAGGGAGCTCATCCGCGCTCTCCCCAGATTTGAACCTGTGACCTGTCGGTCCTCAGTCCTGCCAGTACAGGGGTTTAACCCACTGCAAAACCGGGGGCAGAACAAAAGACAACCTGGCAAAATGGCACGACCTAAAAGAATCCCACACCTTGTGTGACTGTGGAGCAGAACAGACAACTCTGCATCTGTATGCTTGTCCACTATGCCCTGCCTCATGTACAGAGGAAGAATTGCTGTTGCCTGTTTTTGGTCAAAAGATATTTAGCCACCTGTGCTCCTACTTTTTATCAGTTTTATACTAATTTATGCAATGTTTTTGATATGAAATAAAGATAACCGGGGACTCCGAAGTGTATCAATAACATCATTAATTTTTTTTCTCATGTCAGGAGAATTTTGAGTATTCAGACAGTAGGCGTCATGTAAGATTAGGGCAAGAGGTGCTTCGGATCGATAATTTACAGATTTATTTATTTACTACACTTTTATCCCATCCATATCAGTCCGAAGGCGATTCAGGGCGGCGTACAAGTCGGCAACAATTAGATGCCATATATATAAAAATTGTATGCTTGGACTGAAATGATCATGCATTTAATGATCTTGGGGGTTTTGTGTGTGTGTGTGTGTGAGGAGTGACTTGAGAAACTGCAAGTCGCTTCTGGTGTGAGAGAATTGGCCGTCTGCAAGGACGTTGCCCAGCGGACATTGCCCGGATGTTTTGATGTTTTGCCATCCTTCTGGGAGGCTTCTCTTATGTCCCCGCATGGGGAGCTGGAGCTGACAGAGGGAGCTCATCCACACTGTCCCCAGATTCGAACCTGTGACTGGTTGGTCTTCAGTCCTGCCAGCACAAGGGTTTAACCCACTACGCCACCGGGGGCTCCTAGGACTGAAATGATCATGGATTGAGTGATCTTGGGTTCAAACAGTAGAAGTGTTATTATTATTATTATTATTATTATTATCCAGTATAGTTCCAATAGAAAAGGCAATTCATCATAGAGTTCAACTTAACTGCTTTCACTCATGAGTGTATGTATGGGGAGAACTAGAATCATAGAGTTGGAAGAGACCTCATAGGCCATCCAGTCCAACCCCATTCTGCCAAGGAACAGGAAAATTGCATTCAAAGCACCCCCGATAGATGGCCATCCAGCCTCTGTTTAAAAGCCTCCAAAGAAGGAGCCTCCACCACACTCCAGGGCAGAGAGTTCCACTGCTGAACAGTCTCACAGTCAGGAAGTTCTTCCTAATGTTCAGGTGGAATCTCTTTTCTTGTGGTTATGGACAACGCTGGCTCTTCAGTTAGAAATGGAGGTGAGCAGCACCACCGCCCACCCTCCAGAGTCAGACACAACTGGACTTAATGTCAGGGGAAAACCTTTACCTTTTAATGGCCATGTTCCAGAAGCATTCTCTCCTGACGTTTCACCGGCACAACCTCTGAGGATGCCTGCCATAGATGCAGGTGAAATGTCAGGAGACAATGCTTCTGGAACATGGCCAGACAGCCTGGAAAACTCACACCAACTCAATGATTCCAGCCAATACAATGCAGTTTCTCCTGGCACGAAAAAATAAATCTCAGGGATTCATTCTTTGCCATTCTGGAGGGGGGGGGGTTATCTTCACCTGCTTCAGGTGGCCACTCTACCCACCTCAGGCACAGAATGGAAACAGCCCAGAGCCCACATGCTACAGGGCATTGGGATTCATTTTCTAGATCTCTCACCACATCTCAGCATTTTTCGGTTGGGAAAGTGGCACCAAACCGGGATCATCACAATCATCATCATCCTTCTATTCTTCCCAAAGCAGTTCTCAACCTTTCTTCCCTCGCTCCTCCTGTCTTTGCCTAACTTCCTTCAATCCTAACCTTCTCATCCTAACTATCTTTCCCTAACCTCCTTAATCCTAATCCTTAATCCTAATCTCCACATCCTCAATATCTTCCTCTAACTTTCTTTATCTTAACCTCCTGATCCAATTTTTCTCTCCTTTTACATACCCCAAATCCCAACAATCTTCCTCTAACCAGCCGAGCCTTCCCATCCTATCTTTTTGCAAACTGCCTTATTCAAACCTCTGAATCTTATCTTTTTTCACCTCTTTAGTCCAAACCTTTTCATCCTAACACTCTTTCCTTATCCTTTCTTCATCCAACGACTAAGCAGACCCGACTCTTCTTTTTACCAAATTGTATGCAAGGCAGTCAGTATAGTGGGGAGATGCATGTTTCATGTGTATCATTATATCAGAGAGAGTGGAAAGATGCCTGGATATTATTATTATTATTATTATTATTATTATTATTATTATTATGAAGTACAACAAGATGAGTCCACAGCAGACACTCTGCTGGCTGTATTATTATTATTATTATTATTATTATTATTATTATTATTATTATTATTATTATTGGGAGGGAATGGATGCCTGTATATTATTAGTATCACTATTAGAGAGAAGGGGAGGATGCCTGGATATTATTATTATTATTATTATTATTATTATTATTATTGAAAGGGAATGGGTCCCTGGATATTATTAGTATCACTATTAGAGAGAAGGGAAGGATGCCTGGATATTATTATTATTATTATTATTATTATTATTATTATTATTATTTTGTTCTGCAGTTGTGTGACTTTAATGTGGCAGGGAGATGTCATGGATATTATTATTATTATTATTATTATTATTATTATTATTATTATTTTGAAGCACAACAAGATGAGTCCACAGCAGACACTCTGCTGGCTGTATTATTATTATTATTATTATTATTATTATTATTATTATTATAGAGAGGAAATGGATGCCTGGATATTATTATTATTAATATTATCTAGGTAATATTTTGTATATATTTAATGTTTGTATGCTTTTGACTTTGTTGTACCCCTCTTTGAGCCATCGGGAGAGGTGGATAATAAATAAAAAATGCTATTATTATCATCATCATTATTAGAGAGAAGGAAGAGATACCTGGATATTATTATTATTATTATTATTATTATTATTAGAGAGAGGGAATGGATGCCTAAATATTATTAGTATCATTAGTAGAGAGAAGGGAGGGATGCCTAGATATTATTATTAATATTATCTAGGTAATATTTTGTACATATATTTATGTTTGTATGCTTTTTAATTTATTGTACCCTGCTTTGAGCCATCGGGAGGGGTGGGTAATAAATTTTAAAAAAACTACTATTATTATCATTATTATTATTAGAGAGAAGGGAGGGATGCCTGGATATTATTATTATTATTATCTAGGTAATATTTTGCACATATTTTATGTTTGTATGCTTTTTACTTTGCTGTACCTCACTTTGAGCCATCGGGAGAAGTGGGTCATAAATAAAAAAATACTATTACTATTATCATTATTATTAGAGATAGTAGAGGGATGTCTGGATATTTATTATTATTATTATTAGAGAGAGAAGAGATGCCTGGGCAGGAGACAAATTTTCCCAAGGAATAGAAAATTTTCCCCCACTGGTTGCTTTTGAATGGTCAGGTAGAGAAATCAAAGAGCTGGGGAGAATGATAGACCCACTGAAAGAGACTCCAAGAGCCATCCAATAAAGCTAGTGTATAGGGAGACTTGGAGGGTAGTATTCCATCCATTGGGAGGTTGTATTGATATTATTATTATTATTATTATTATTATTATTATTATTATTAGAGAAAAGGAAGAGAAACCTGGATAGTATTATTGTTATTATTATTATTATTATTATTATTATTATTATTATTATTATTATGAAGAGGGAATTGATGCCTTGATATTATTAGTATCATCATTAGAAAGAAAGGAGGGGTGCCTGGATATTATTATTATTATTATTATTATTATTATTATTATTATTATTATTATCTATGTAATATTTTGTACATATTTTATGTTAGTATGCTTTTTACTTTATTGTACCCCACCTTGAGCCATCAAGAGAAGTGGATAATAAATAATAATAATAATAATAATAATAATAATTACTATTATTATTATTATTGAGAGAGGAGGGATGATTGGATACTATTAGTATTATTAATATTATTACAGGGAGTGGAGGTATGCCTGTATATTATTATGTAATATTTTGTATATATTTTATGTTAGTATGCTTTTTACTTTATTGTACCCCACCTCAAGTCATCAGGAGAAGTGAATAAATTATTATTATTATTATTATTATTATTATTATTATTATTATTGAGAGGAGAGGGATGCCCGAATCATATTACTATTGATAGTATTATTACAGAGAGTGGAAGAATGCCTATATATTGTTATTGTTGTTGTTATTATTGAGAGAGGAGGGATGCCTGAATCATATTATTATTATTAGTATTATTACAGAGAGTGGAAGGATGCCTGTATATTATTATTGTTATTGATGTTATTATTGAGAGAGGAGGGATGCCTGGATACTATTAGTATTATTAGTATTATTACAGAGAGTGGAGGGATGCCTGTATATTATTATTATTATTTTACTGACACAAAAACACAGTGTGTCACAGCCAATGAGATCTATATGCTGGATTTCATATCACAAAATCACAAGTTGAACACTTCCCAAGCATTTAGGACTGTGCAATGTATTTTTGAATGATGCTTGCAGATCCAAGCAAGGTGGCCTTTTGCAGTTGACAGATCATGATTTTGTCTATTATTATTATTATTATTATTATTATTATTATTATTATTATTATTAGAAACACAACAAGATGAGTCCACAGCAGACACTCTGCTGGCTGTTGAATTGGATCACACGTCGGACACTTCCCAAGTGATTATTATTATTATTATTATTATTATTATTATTATTATTATTGAGAGGGAAGGGATGCCTGGATAGTATTCGTATTATTAGTATTATTCGAGACAGAGAAAACGGGGTATAAATAAATATAATAATGGTGATAATAATAGTAATAATAATAATAATAATAATAGAGTTGCGAAGCAGTTTCTCCCTTCTTCTACTCTCTCGTACCCTTCCCTCCATGCTTCTCACATCCTCCTCCTTTTTCCCCATTGCAGGTACTAGTGAATATCGGGCTGAACTTTGACTCCGAGCGGAGCACCTTTATTGCACCCCGGAAGGGCATCTACAGCTTTAATTTTCACGTGGTGAAGGTATACAACAGGCAAACCATCCAGGTTAGAGATTCCATACTCTTTTAGTAATGAATGTTGTGCAATTGAGAGTGGGAGAGATGCTGCCAGTGTACGTCTCATTCAAACTCTTGGGTGCAGCATTGAGGTGTCAGTCAGCCCTCTTCAATTTTGCAGACTGTATTCCTGAGTGAACACACATAGCAAGAGGCCTCTTGATATTTTTTTCCTCGTGCACCCATTTGCAAAGCCTTTATTCTTTTCTTTAGGTCTACATGCAACTTTCCTTAAGGCTCTTCCGACTGAGAACCAAATTGCAAAAGCATGGCAACTTATCTTGAAACAATTAAGATTTTTGGGAATTATCCAAAAATAAATTGGTCTGTTTTAGGAATCAAGGACAAGTGTGCCTTAGTTGACACTTGACCCCTCAAACTGGTTTCTGTTTGGGTTCGTTGCAAATTTGGCATTGCATTGCAGCTTCTGCAAAGGAGAGAGATTATGGATGAAAGCAAGTAACCGCCATCCAAAGCATTGTCTAGCCAGATGTAAGCTTCCTAGAGCACAATAGCACTTACCCCAAGGAAATATCCCTAGGATGGGTTTGATACATTCGGAAGTGGCAGATGTTTATATAATTAATTTTTGAAGTCCAAATTTGCCTTTTCCTTTCTTCCACGAACCACTTTCCGCATGGCTCTTGCAATCGAGAACCAAGTGACAAGAGAAGACAAAATGACAGTTTATCCGTAAACACTTAAGCTTGATAGTCCGCCTTTTTCAGTTCAATCCCAACGTGTATCCAATTGTGTCAACTGGGCAATGTGCATTGCACATTTTTACCCTGCTTTCTGATTTTTTTTAAAAAAAAACTGCAAGTCACTTCTGGTATGAGATAATTGGTCATCTGCAAGAACGTTGCCCAGGGGATGCCTCGATGTTTTGATGTTTAACCATCCTTGTGGGAGGCTTCTCCCATGTCCCCACATGGGGAGCTGGAGCTGACAGAGGGAGCTCATTTGTGCACTCCCCAGATTGGAACCTGCAGCCTGTCAGTCTTCACTCCTGCTGGCACAAGGGTTTCACCCAGCATTTCCCAACCTGGGGGTCGGGAACCCTGGGGGGGGTCACGAGGGGTTGTCAGAAGGGTCACCAAAGACCATCAGAAAACACAGTATTGTGTTGTTGTCTTTGGCGACCCCTCTGAACACCCCCTTGAGGGGGGTTTGCGTGGGAAGCTTGGCCCAATTTTCTCATTGGTGGGGTTCAGAATGCTCTGTGATTATGGTTGAACTATAAATCCAAGCAACTACAACTCCCAAATGTCAAGCTCTATTTCCCAAATTCCACCACTGTTCACATTTG